CAAGGGCACGTGGCCAGCGCCGTTGCATGCAGACACGTATACCCAGAAAACAAAAGTGTGTGGCAAAGATGGTACCACCATTCCCCCAATGTATCACAACTGCGGAACCCCCAAATTCCCCCGCTCCATCTGCTCGGAACGTTCCTTGATTGCAATAATCTGTCAATGCTGTGAGTACATCCAACAGCCCCCCTGNTTCCCCCGCTCCATCTGCTCGGAACGTTCCTTGATTGCAATAATCTGTCAATGCTGTGAGTACATCCAACAGCCCCCCTGCTCACTGCATTGTCAAGATTACTCCCGGACTTACGTATCACGCAAAGCCCACCCCGAACACTCCAGAAATCAATGTCCATGTGCAAGTAGAGTCGTATCTCCTCCTATTTCTCTTGCAGCAAAAGTAAACCACTAAACCAGAAACACTAGTTTGAAACTCCATTGGTCGCAAACCATTAAACCGGCAATACCCACCAGAATCTCCATCGGTCTCCATTGTATCCAGAATCTCCAAAGATCAAAACATTCACGAGAAACGACTAAACCAGATACACTGACATTCCCATCGGTTGCAAACCATTAAGCCAGGAATATCACCAAGAATCCATCGGTTGCTCATGAATTCGAAATCCCCAACATCAAATGATCATCATGATTGCAAAAACAAATGCTCTTCTTCTACTCCGTACATCATCCTCAAAACAACACGAAGACCATTGAACCAACAAGACCACTTGAAAGTTTTTCTTATCGGCCAGTCTTCAACTCAACATTCAACGAACATCAAGAAAATCCATCCGAGCATTAAACCCAAAACACTTGAAAGTATCTCCTATCGGTCAACCTTGAATTTCAATGTCCAAAAGAATATCACGAAAATCCAACCGACCATTAAACCAAAAACACTGCTGCAGCAAGTATTTTATATCGGTCAATCTTGAACCCGATGTTCAAAAAAATGCCATGAAGATACAAACCAATACAGAGGACCTCGACAATACCGAACGCCAAACCTGCCTCACAAACGAAATGTCCTCGAAGCATGTGACATCGCTACACATGCTGCCTGCGTGGTTGACAGCGTGGCGCAAGTTGGAGTCGGGGATTGCCACAAGACAGCCCCCCCCCTCCTCTGGTACTAGTCACCCTACGCATATAACCTCCCTTCAATTTCCAACAGAACAACAATTTTCCTTCCTGCAAACCCTACAAATACATGTCTGGCTACGGCCCCCCTACTCCGAACACCAGACATTAAGCGATTAACCCTCTACTTGACAAGTACATCCTGCGACAACAGAGCAATAGATTTCCTTCCTGCATACCCTACCAATGCAGTCTGGTTACGCCCCCCCTGCTCCGAACACCAGACATTAAGCGATTAACCCTCTACTTGACAAGTACATCCTGCGACAACAGAGCAATAGATTTCCTTCCTGCATACCCTACCAATGCAGTCTGGTTACGCCCCCCCTGCTCCGAACACCAGACGTTAAGGGATCAATCCTCTACTTGACAAACGCATACTGTGACATTTGGGTACGAAAAGCACACCAAACAAAATCGCATAAAAACTTGTATTTCCATTCACGAAATCAAATCCCGAACTTTGCAAATCGGGCATAGAAAAAAAAAAACAAAGCATTCATTTTTCATTTTTTCGTGATGCTGTGGCAATGGTCATGACACAACCTATTCTCCCTCCCCATGATAATTGCCGACAGCATCGAAAACAGAGAGAAGGGGTTTATCCCTGACCGATGGTACATGGAAAGGCGCGTCAAATACATACGGGATAACGTAAAGCCTTCTACCAAGAAAACTGCCACACGAAGAGAAATCAACAAGTACTCATCAATCAAAACATGCCAAATCCTTCCTCTACTGCAGTTTCCAAGGGCCAATTACTACGCAGCGCGTACACGCGAACCGGTGTCGCCGTTGCTGTTCAAGAAATGGATAGAAAATCAAACAAACATGCAACCAGCCTCCCTTCTGTCACATCCCAAAACACACCTGATATTTCCAGAGTCCATGAAAGAACACTCCGTTATTATCAATACGTCAACAGTCCGTTTGCTAAGCAGGTATTCATATGAAAACAGAACCAACTCGATTGCTGTTCATGCCATCTCGAATCATGGTCACACATGACACCCCCCCCATGATTTTAGATTTAAGAACAGCAGCAATTGAAAGAAGAAATATCGCTGCTAGAAAGAAAGGCAAACAAAAACAAAACGGAACACGAAACGCACATGATAAAGAGCAGACCCGGCAATACAAGGCGCGCCACGCGGGGTCGGCCGACCACGCATTCTCCACACATCATTTCCACCGGTATTGACCCCCACCTATTTGCTCTTGATCACCTGCACGTCTCCCCCCCAACCGTATTGTCCTCCATCGCCCCCCTGCTCGCCGCCCCCCAGCTCACCGGCCCCCACCAACCCATGCCTAACCATCGGCTTGCCGTTCATCACGCGCCGTCGAAGATGGAGCAGCGGCCTCAATAGGAGAAGGCAACCAGTCCGCCTGTGGCGATGCATGCCCCGAGTAAGGCGATGTCGGCGACGACGCGGGGACGGCGGTAGCGGCTGGATGAATCCGTGTCCCACATGCAGTGGTATGCTACGGCGATGACGAAGCGGCGGCGGCCACGTCGGTGGTCCTCGTCGCGGTCGTGCTCGGGCGCGGCAGCGCGGTGGCACCTGGCGAAGGCACAAGCGGCACGGCGGCCCCGGAGGTCGGCGGCAGCGGCGACGGCGCGGCCGCGGTGACCGTGGCGGGTAACGCCGTCCTGGAGGTTGGCGGCAGCGGCGACGGTGCGTCGGTGGCGGCGGCTGCATTCCATGGTGCGCCACCAGCGGTGTGCGACGGCGACGATGACGTAGTGTCGGCAGTGGCGGGTCCCCACGGTACAGCGGCAGCAGCGGGCGGCGAAGCGGTGATGGTCCCCGCCGTGGCGGCGGCGACGGCAGGACAAGTGGCAGCGTTGGCAGAGGGCGGCGAAGCGGCAGTGTTCCCGGGTTCCAACTCCCTGGGAAGGGTATTCCCTTGTTGTTCGGCAGTCATACTCAAAATGGGTTCGGGAAAGTGGCCTGCGCGGTGGTGGAAAACGTCAACATCCATTTGTTCGGCACGACCCAACACAGCCACATCATGCTCAAACGCAACTCCTTCCCTCGCATCAAACATCCCCGCACTCGTCCCCTTGTCTCCCTGCAACTGCTCACCACCTTTGGGTGTTGACATCCTAGCGCGGGATACCGGAGCTTGAGAGGTTACAGCAGGATTCACTGCAGGAACAACAGGAACATCAAGCACAGACATACCAGCAACGGGAATACCAGACACCTCCCCATCACTAACAACTCCGATCTCATTTCCAGTCACAGAATCAGACTCGCTTAGAGGTTTCACACTACTTGTGTGGAAGAGACGAAGAGGGGCGCCACTAGCTGGAGGAATGTCGCCCGGAGGTGGAGAGGGGGTCGCCGTCGAGGAGGCAGAGGTCGTTGGGGGTGCGCTGATGTACTGCTGCTGCTGCTGCTGCTGCTGCTGTTGCGGTGTCGCCGGCAGATTAGGGGTGCTAAAGGCTTCGTTGAAGACTCGCGGCTGGTATGCGTCGGGCCCTGCAGAAGGGGGACAGAACGGGCGGCCCCGACCCCAGCTTGCCCCTTGGTCCAGTTGATGCAGCTGCTCTCGATATGATCCGCCCGACAACCGCCCCGAGTCTTGCCCCCGGGCCTGAGGAAAACCTGGTCCCCGCATGCTGTCCCTCTCGCGAATGAACGCCATGAAGTCGTTGTAGTGGAACAAGAAGTCCTGGCGAAGTTTATGGCAGTCCGGGGTGTTGTGGGAGGAGTTCGCTCCGTGAACCGGACAGAAGAAGGCACTTCTCTGCTCATGAGATGACCCGCCATCCGCTCCCGCAGCAGCTGCTGTCCTCATGCCGCCTCCTTGGCCCACACTGGCAGCGACGGGCGCATGCCTCGTGTCCTCGATCCCCTCTCCAGACCTCCGTTTGATCCTCTGCTGGTGCTCGGCCAGCTTCAGCGTCTCTTCCAGAGTACCTCTCGAAAGCATGGGGTGGAACAGAATACGATCTTTGACATCGTCGTACATTGGGAGCAAGCCACGCGCAATGTGTCTCGACATTAACGTCTCCTCTCGATTGTCCCCACAAGACTGTAATTGCATCCACACAGTATTCGCCCTTCCCCAGTAGTCGACAAGAGTCTCTCCATGCTTCTGCCTTAGACAGTTCCAAGTGTCGTCCAGGATTTCTCTCTCATGCGTCCTACTTCTAGCGTAGCAGGACTGAAACACTCTCCACCCTGCTTGTGGACTCTCTGAAGCTAGAATCTGGTCTAGTATGGGTTGAACGTTGATTTTCGTGATCAAGCATATCCAGACTCTCGTGGCCTTCCGAACACTTTCATCGCCAAACCTCTGCCGCAACCAAGTCTTATCGACGTGCAACGAACCCACAGGAATCTCTTCTCCTCTCATGATCTCTTCAAGACCCTCTGCATCTATCCACCCTGAGAAACAACTCGGGAAAATTCGGAACGCGACAGTCACACTTCGATCCTTCAAGAAAGCCTCATTCCCCTCAGATAGTTCGACTCTCTCTCTCAGGTTAAACTCTATGGGCTGGGAACTAGACGTGCCTGAGCGGACGTCATGTCCCGGAGTCTGGGAGGCGGAGGTGGCAACCCGGCGGAGGAGGCCGACGAGGGCGATAGTTGGATCTGGTTCCCCTCCATCCGCGGCTGCTCTCGGTCCTCCCTGGTCCACATCGGGGAGGTTCAACGATTCTCGTCCTTTCCCCCCGTTATCATCCCCGTGGGGAGAGGAACTAGTCCCTGGTCCCCCCGGAGGTCTTCGTCCATCTCCTCCAGCCGTCTTTTTCGCGCAGACACAGCAGCCACTCTCTTGATCGATTACGCTAGCGTGTTGGAGAGCTTGGTGCGCCCCGCGCAGTTGTAGACGGCAAAAATAAATGAACCGCGCGGCGAGTTTGCTGGCAACGATAAAATACAGTAAACTGCCCGCGTGTGTGGTAACCCGCCCCATCTGTGATGTTCCGGAGCGTGATGGCTCTGATGTGTTGACGCTGGTGTTGTGATAGCTGTTGTGATGGCGTGATAGCCTAGAGGCGTGACAGCCTGGCCGCTTGATAGCTGGTGGATATGTAGTATGGACACGGGCGTGATAGCCCAGGGCGTGATAGCCGAGCAAAGGAAGATGAAAATTATTATACAAGGGCACGTGGCCAGCGCCGTTGCATGCAGACACGTATACCCAGAAAACAAAAGTATGTGGCAAAGATGGTACCACCATTCCCCCAATTTATCACAACTGCGGAACCCCCAAATTCCCCCGCTCCATCTGCTCGGAACGTTCCTTGATTGCAATAATCTGTCAATGCTGTAAGTACATCCAACAACCCGTGTGCCCTCCCACCATCAACGGACGAAACGGGTCTCCCACACTTGTATGTACAGCAGTTTTGGTGAACCGCCCGCCCACGGGACACCCATATGGGCACAACTCCCATGTGCTGCCCATGGCGAATGCCCGCGGGCAAGCCCATCGGTAGCCCGCGAGAAGCCTGCCCATGGGGAATGCCCACGGGCAAGCCCATGGGTAGATGAGCTGGTGGGTAGCCCATGGGCAGCCCATGGGCGGCCAATGAGTGCCCTTGAAGAGGAAGCAGTGCACTCCTAACAACAGATTTCTGCTTTGGAACGGGCATCATCGCGGCCAATAACCCTAACGCTAGCAATAACCCGATGATATGGGGTCGGAGTGTAGACGCATCGTAGAACGCATTTTCGTTTGAAGTTGGCGTCTTGTTTGAGAGTAAGCAATACTAAAACTTCTTCGTAAGACCTCGATTGAAGAAGGCCGGGATTTACTTTAATATCTAAAGGCGATAATTCTAATCTTGCTAGATTAAGTTGCTCTATACGATTTAATTAACTTAATAAAGTATTTTTATGAAGTTCCCTTAAAGTTTCTAGGAAAGGATTATAAAGGATATTTTAGTAAAAAAAAAAAAAGGAATCATTTTAGAAATATTTTTAAGTGTAATCTTCATTATATATATATTTATTTCAAGTTGAAGAGGAGATATTTTTACGATGTAAGTGACAGTAGAAATAAGTCCTACATATGTTGTTGTACTTCGTATTGGTTTAATATTCATGTAGAGTATGAGACATTAAGTGAAAGTTTTCTGAGGTACATCTGCCAATGTCGGAAGGCAAATAAATAAATAAATAAATAAATAAATAACCCTAACCCAAACCCCAAGCCCACACGATACGTGCCAGGTTGGCACTGGGTTGGGCTAGTTCTACATAGGTTGATGTGCCGCGACTAAGTTCTATGCATAGGAGAAGTTCTAGGTTGAAGTGCCCGCATTGGGCACTTCATGGGCCTCCCATGGGCCTGCCATCGCCCCACCCACGTGCAGCTCATGGGCAGCCCATGGGCTGTCCATGGGCGGCCCTAGAGGTGCCCATGGGCGGCCCGTGGGTGCCCCATAGGTGTCCCATGGGGAGTTTAGCAAAACTGCCAGTAGTGTGGGAGATTGCGCACGGCGGAGGGTCTCAGGTGTCACAGGTTTCGCTGTCAACAATGTAACACCCAAGACCATGATATTTGGGGAAGAAGGAATCAGGCGAAAGGGGGAGGGGGGGAGACTTCAATGTGGGTTGTCGGTCAGAGGGAACAAAGGTGGAGGAGCAGAAAGAAGTGTGTGGCCGGATGATACTCGCCAGGTTTCGCTGTGCGAGGCTTTGCAAGCGTTTTTTTTTTAGCGGCGCCCTCTTCTTGTGAAAGTGGTGCCAAGCACAAGGGGCTTGGGTCTGCACTGTGTTGCTCGAAACCCGGGGTTATTGTTACGCGCTCCGCAGCAGCACGCGGGTGACATGGCTTATTAATGAGGTACAGAGCCACAGCACACGCTGACTGACGCGCCGCTTTGAGGACACAGGCTTCCCTCGTTGGGGGGGAGGCCCAGGTCGCAGTAGTCTTTTCCCACTACTAAGGGCTAGCAGTTCTCTTCGTCGAGATTTAGAGAGGAGAGGGTCTCAGAAGAGAGAGACAAGAAAGAGAGTGCCGCCGAAGGGGCGAGGGAGACCAAGCCCGAGGGTCTCGGATTCCCAAGCTCCACAGGTGGCGCCAAGAGGGACGCATCCACAGTCGGGTCTCTTGCTGATCAACCATCAGTAAGATCCTCCGTTCGGATCGTATCTTGGTCCTACTTTTGTATGTGCAACAACAATGGTTGCAGCACTTCTACACCTGTCATCCACATCACCCCCCCCCTTCATGCGCCACAAATTCATCTTTGCTAAGGATGCATTTTGGCGTTTCTAGAGGCCTTGGACGATATACATGGAAACAGGTGTTGGAAGTTTTGTCATACTGTTGTGTTGCAACATCTTCAACCGTGTCTGAGTCAGATTTTCCGTGTTGAGAAAACACGAGTTCGTCAAGCTCAGTTGAAGTTGTGGTCCATAGCAAAAGTACAGAAATCAAACTAAAAATAAAGATGCTTCATCTCCTGCGTGATTCTGACAGAAAAGAATTTCTTCCGTTCAGATATATTCTAGGGTGGCCATACCCAGATTGTGTTCACGCAGTTGAATAGCAAACATGGTCTCAGCTACAAAACAGTTTGAAACTGATAGCTTAATATCAGCTGCTTAATATACCATGCCTGGTTTTTTTTTTTTTTTGCTACAAAACAGTTTATCGATGTGTCACGGAAACTGGTAACTCATTTTACTCATGCACTGTTCGTCATAGCACGCGTGGATCAGGCGCTTGCTGGATGATAGTGCAAAAAAAAGCACAAAATGTCGCAAAATGACAATCACGGAAAATTGGTCGCCTGACCAACCGTGTTAATATCTTGATTCCGTCTTTTTTTTACTTGAATGGATCGTCGTCGACAACTCACTCAAGATATAGCCGAGAACCAAGGAGTGGACACAACGTAAATGGGGGCCGGTGAAATCGATCTGTCGTTCGCTTGTTGAAACCGTAAAACGTATCCACACGTCGCGTGGTTTCCGTTGGTTTCTTGAACAAAGCTGACAGGGACAATAAGTCATAAGACTCTCTCCTCGCTAGTGTTTTCCCAAGAACACTGAAAAAAAATATTATAAAATAGGGTGTACCAAACAATGTACAAAAACCCCTTCCACCGTCACTATCTCCATATCCCGAGGGTATGGAAATAGATAGTGTTAACGTGTCATTACTATCTCCATGTCACAAGGATATGGAAAAAGATAGTGCTAACGTGTCATTACTATCTCCATGTCACAAGGATATGGAAAAAGATAGTTTTAACTCGTCCCCATGTTAAAAAACAAAACTTAACATAAAAAAAGAATCAAATTTGAGCCGCAGAACAACAGCAGATAAGATTTTGAGCGCTCTATATCTGGCATTGCTGCTCAATTCCTTGCTTCGGTACGTCTTCGCTTCCTAGTTCGGCAGGGTGATTCTTCGTCCCCCTGCTTGTTGAGGGTGCGAACCGAAGTTGTTTTAGGAAGTGCCATATCCAAACCACAACGGATTCGGTATGCAGCATCATTTCTTGACATTGTGGTACCTCATCTGCGCGGTATTCGAGGTCTGACTCCGGGCCATACCCGCGAAGACGCAAACGGTATCGGTAATTAAGGGGGGGCAGAAGAGCAACATTGATGTTGACGAATTTTGAAAACAAACGCAAGAGGTCCAGAAATTGTACGACAGACACACAAGACCAGTCGGGAGGCATCGCGAAAAACAGCAATCGTTGATCCTCGCACAGGGCGNAGGAGTCCTCGGACCCCGCCGACTTTTGTGGCTTACCACTTTGTCTACAACATAAGACTCAATCCTTGGTTAGGCCTCATCAGGGTGATCGATAGCGGGTAACGGAATCTGTCGCCCTAAAAAGAACTCAGCGAGTTTATCAAAGTCGGGCGCAGGCGGTGTTTTCCTCGCAAAATATCGTTTAATATGGGCTAGGTGAACCGAAACTTCTCGAGTTTCTTTTGGGCGTCTCACTCGGTAAACTACGGGTGATAGTTGCGAGCAGACGACGTATGGTC